TGGTACCTCCACAGAGGAGAACTGTGTTTTGGCTCCAGTATTCATTTGTTGACTAAGTACAGAACAAGACTTAAATTTATTTAATCAAGTGTCACAGTTCAGTGGTTTGAAAGTTTCAAGATTATCTACAGTTCTTAAAGTTTGCGATTGCTAGCTTTCCAAAGTTACTATTTGAGGAGGTAAATCTCAGAAGAACTAACAATTTAATTCAGAAGAACTAAAGGGTTTATGTTTTACAGAAATTTGGCTTTCTTGGCTTTGACTTTCTTAAAACTAAATTAAGGTATGGTATTTTCTCTTGTCTGCTAACTGCTGTGGGGGTTTAGTGGGAGCCTGAGGTTCACAGTGTTCAAATGAGCTATTAGGTTTGGAAGATGATACTGTAAATATTCAGAATTTGGTCTGTCCTCTGAATTTGCCTGTTTTTATATTGGATGGTAGCTTTCTGTGAAACTTTTGCTTATGATCTTGAGTGTGATCCTGTGATTCCTGCTCAAGAAGCTCTTGGGCATGTGTCTTCTACAGTGCCTGGTGGGTCACATTACAAAAGAAGGCAAATGTAAGTGGTGTCTTTTAGAGCTTTGCTGCTCCTACTAAATTCTGCACAGTCTAGTGAGTGTAAAAAAAAAAGGAAGTGTCAATTGGGTGAATAATGCTTTTGATCTGTTTTTTTAAAATATATATATGTCTTTAGGCAAGAAGGTATCAGCCTAGGTTGCGCTTTGGAAAAGTAAGCATACGTCCTATTGTTGGTTCAAGCTGGTGTGCATGACTTAAATGTCAACCTGATTTTGCGTTTTCTTTTTGCAACAGCCTGGTTTAGATGTTGTGGTCATGCTAACTTCATTGAGTTGGCATCTCTATGATTTTCTAATGGTCATCAGCAGCTTGAGATCAGTCAATATAGTAAGAACTTCAGCTTGCTTAATACATGGATAGGGAGAGGTAGTAAATTCATTGGATCATACGATGATTCAGGTTAGAAAAAGATCGTGTCCTTCATGTAAGGTGGTTACCTGTAACAGGATGTCATGACATGGAATGACATGACTTGTGTCAGCGAAGATTTAAGTTAGGTGTTGGGGAAAGGTTCTTCCCTCAGAGGGTGGTTGAGCACTGGAGCAGGCTCCCCAGGGAAGTGGTCACAGCACCAACCCTGACAGAGTTCAAGAAGGGTTCAGACGATACACTCAGATACATGAGACATGTTCAGGATGTCCTGTGCAGGGCAGAATTTGGACTTGATTCCATGGATCTCTTTCAATTTAGGATATCCTGTATAATCCAGCTGCTCGAAGAAGAGTAGACTGAGGTCAGACCAAGTGGATCAGTGTGTTATCCAGATACCTGTCTTTGCTTTTAAGCTGCACAGTTTCTTGGGAATATGTATTTAGATTTATGTGGCTTTTGTTTTTAAGGTTAGATTACTTGTTTTGGAGGTATATGAATTCATTTTTAGCTTTCTTTCCAGCATATAACTTTTTGAGAGATGAGAAGAGTTCTGTGAAAGAGATCATCTGGAATTCAGATTTTAAAAAATATCCCTTTTTCAAAGGGACATTTCTGGATTTGTCCAGAAAATAGAAAAATTGTTTGTGTAATTCTTAGTCAGACTTGATGTTTAGGATGTTGTGTAGTCTTGCTGTTTAGTTCCAGTTTGTATGGGATTACTGGCATGGATTTTGCTGTGGTGATAACAACTTGGCTGTCTTATATGATAAAAGTGGTGCTTAACTTTTGTTTGACACTAGGCTGTAGAAACATGAGCATCTTGGGCTGCCTTCCCAAGAGAAGATGTGTGGTTCAAGTAGTGCAAGTACCCCTTCTGAACTGATAGTGTATTCCAGATAGGAACATGAAAGACATCCTGTATTAGCCACCTATCCACGTGGAGTGCTTCTTCTTAAGCATTGTGAGTAGTAGCCTAGCTTTGTATTTCCTAGTATGACTGTGTATCATATTCAAATGCAATAATAAAGAGGAAAAAAAAAGTAGTTGATGATGAAATCTGCAATTATGTTATTTACTTCCCTCTGAAGTGATATAGAACAGGCTGGTGATTAATGTGGAATTACTGTACATAATATGGAATTACTTTATGTTTTTAATTAGTTTCTATGATTAGTGAATTTAATTTCTTATATGAGGTTGTAACATTAGTGTTTCTATTTTTCTTTATATGTGTCATTAGTTCTGCTAAATTTTTTTTTCTATTTCCCTCTAGGAAGCAATTCAAGTTTTCTGCAAAGTCTGAGCATTTATGTTATCTGACTGAACTGACATCTTGGTAATATGCCATTTTTTGCGAGCTTCTCTCTACCTTTCTGAACAGATATGGAGTGGTCTGGCCTTTTTTAAATTTTATTTTTATTAATTTTTAAATTTTTAGTAAGTCCTCTTGTTGTAACAGGTTAACTGTTTTGAAAAGCAGGAGAGGCATTCTGAGTTCTTTGTTTTCCCGAGACTGGAGGATGTGGGTCACAGTTGTAGAAGACACAGGCTTAAATAGAGTCTGACACTGATAGCTTGCTTACAAAGCCAGTTACCTCAAAAGCTGTGTTGTTTACTGGAGATTGAAGGTGTGCTGAATTAACCATGGACTCTGCATGAGCAGAGAAAGGATCCTTCTCCTGTTTTAGTAGCTGCAAGAAGGCAGCATGGGACAGACCCTCTGGAGAAATGTCCTTCTGTAGGTTTTATCACCTTTTGAGGTGTCTACTGCCCTGGAAAGACCTCTTACCTTTCTGTTGCTTCTTCCAGTAGTTCTTATTTTCAGTCCTTCTGACATCTAATGAGAGTGACTTTCTGTGCTCATTCAAAAAACCAAATTTTCATAAGATTGATTTGATAGGCTTTCTCTTGATGTTCTAGAAGATACTCATTTTTCCAGTGCCAAAATGTGTATGATTTTTTTCCTATTAGGTTGGAAAAGTGTGTATTATCTTGATATCCTCTTTTTTTTCCCATGGCACAGTGGGCTTTATTACTATTTTGTATTATTTTTGCCTTTGTTGTATGGTTCAGTCACTGTTCTCATAATATTATACCCCATCTGAATTTTTTTGTTTGTTTGTTGATGGTTCTTCTAGTGGCAGCATTTATCTCTACTGTTGGGAAGAAAAATTATAATTTTCTTTCTAGAAAAAAACCAATTTCTTTGCTTCAGATTTCACTGTTAAATCTTTGGCTCTTCTGCCTTAGAAGTGCTTGGATTTCTGCCTGTGGTTATCCTGAACACCTTCTTCTGAATTCCTGTCTAGACAAGCAACTAGTTATATTGGTACTGCCTCTTTCAGGATCTCTTTAGCCTAATTTCTCTTCTATCTGTCATGAATTGTGTTTTTTAGCATGCCCACTTTCAAATTAACTGGTGGCTTGATGCCATCCCTTGAGCTCTTCTTGAAGAGTGATGTTGAATAGCTCTTCCTGAGCACCACAGAAACCTACATACCTCGTGTAGTAGTGTTTAACTGATGACCTCATGCACTCACCTGGAAGGATTTAATGTGGGTCTGGTTTTCAGAGAGTTAAAAATAATTCTAAAATTAGGACAGTAATTCAGGTTCTAAGTGAATGTTTTTCACCTATTTTGTCTACTGCAAAACCAAGCTGTTATTTTATTCTTCTCTAATGGGAGGCTACTAGATTTGTAACTAAATCTCAAATGCTATAAAATAATACTGATTTTGTTTTCACCCATTGTTTACTTCTTAACCATGAGAACTAGAAATCTTCCTAGTCTTTTCTGTATAGGACAATGCAGATTTGAATGGGTGGGTGTTGGGTATGTTTCTCCACAGTTCACAGTGGAACATTTTGTACTTCTCTGCACTGGAATAGTTCAGATTGGCGTGGAAGTTTGCTGTTTGATAGTTCTTTTTTCTTAGTACCACTTCACTGAACATAGGGGAAAAAAAGATGACAAAATTAAAGATCAGACAACCTTGTTGCAATATTTCAATGTGAAACTTAGAGAGCATGTGTCACCATTCAAATTCTGAAATGTTTTCTAAACTGAGCTAGATGAAAACCAGTATTTGTGAGCCAGGGACAGCAAAATCACTTTAAAGGAAAACAATGTAATTTGGTGACTTCTGCAGTACGAGAACCAAATATAGTAGGTTGTAAGCAATTATAGCCTGCTCTATTAGTTGACTAGAATGCCGGTCAAGTTCTGGTAATAGTACAATTTTCAAAATGTTTTGAAAAAAATAATAACAGCTATGTTTAAAATGTAACAGTTTATTTGTAAAGACATAGGCTCTGTGTGGTGTTTTCTCTCTAAACAATTGGTGTTACTACAAAAATAGTTAAATGAGCTTTTTCATTTTTGATTTCTAATTTCTTTTTTGCTTTTAAAGATGTTTATGCAATCCCATGCTCAAAAGAAAGAAAAAATGTTTAGTTCAAGTTTAGCACAACCAGCTGCTCCTCTGCCAATGAAATTATTTTAATCTGTAATGTAGTGTTCAATTACCTTCTGTTTAAATAAAAGGGATTTCAGAAGGTTTACTTGCCAGCCCCATTCAAAATTATGTTTTAATATAGTGACACAAGGCAAACACTTAAAAATGTGGTTAAACTGAACAGTTGCTTTGACTTTTTAATTGTCAAAACACTTTTGAATCTGTAAGTCATCTACTTTGAGGATTTTCTTCCTTCATATTTTGTGAGTTTTCTATCATAACTGGACGGAATATGATGACTCAAGCTACCAGGATAGTAGGGTTTTATCTTGAATCTGAGTCTGTTGGTTGGTAAAGGAACTTATTAGTAGCGTACTGGAAGGGCCATTTTCTATGCTATTGCAGTACTGACTTGCAAAATAGTGTGGAGTTTACATTGTTCAGTTTCTGTGAAGTGACATAAAAGTTAGTGCCACCACTGTGCACGCACATCTGTGTACATTGTACGGAAGTCTGAAGCTGGCTTAACACAAGTTAATCATTTATTCCCAAATGACTACAGCTGTGTTACTTTATGATACATCTCTTCCACAGACACCAAAGATGCTAACAAGGAAGATTAAGCTTTGGGACATTAATGCCCATATAACCTGTCGTCTGTGCAATGGATACCTGATCGATGCTACTACTGTAACAGAATGCTTGCATACTTGTAAGTAGAAATATAATTAACTTAAAGTTGCTGGTTTCTATTTGTTTCTGGTTTGGGGTTTTTGGTTTTAAAACATGTTGTATGGTTTTCAGTTGAAATTTCAAATAGCTGTTGTTCATCAGCCAAAAAAGCATGTGCTTTACTAGACTGCTTTTCTTTAACAGTTGATTTGCTTTTTTAACAAAGCAAATGGAGGGAACATTAAAGCTGTGCTGCATAAACTTGAAGCTATATACAATAGTAGTGATAATGTAACTATTCAAGAATGTAGTCTGTCTTCATGCTAAAGGAATGTGGAATACCTAGTTCTCTCTTCTGTGACAGTTGATGTAGCATATATTCTCCACCTGGAGCCTTTCAGATGTCTCTTTCTCTCCTGTTCCTCTGCAGAAAACAGAGTAGTTTTTGATAAAGAATAAGTATGTTGTACTGTATCCTAGAAATAAGCTTGTATTCCAAAACATTGTGATAAAGTAGTTGTTTGTTGATTAATTACTCCATGAATTTCTATTTTCATGTAAGCTAAAGATGACTTAAAACCTTGCAACCCATCCCATGTTTTAAAATTGTTCTGCCACAATATTTATGTTTATTCTGATAAAGCTAGTAGGTCGTTTAATTAGCTTAATGATTAGTACTAAATTTTCTTGGAAGGCAATTATTTTGTGATGTGTATTTATCATAAAACAAAAAGTGTCGGCAGACTTCACCTTTTATATCCTACAAAGGGGAAAGACAATGTTCATGATTTGTCAGTGATTGGTTTTTTTCCATTTAGAAGCTCTGTTTATCAGCTGTGATGAATTTGCTGCACTTGTCACACTTCATGTTGTTCTGAATATCCTCATAGAATCTAGGATAGTAGAAAGGTTTGTTCTGTGATTCTGAGAATCACAGAATAGTTCTAGAATCTATATTGAGTTGCCTGGTTATGGGCAGGGTCAGCATCTACTGGACCAGGTTGTTCAAAGACCCATATAACCTAGCCTTGAATGCTTCCAGTGATGGCACGTCCATAGTTTCTTCAGGCAACCTGTGCCTGTTATCTGTACCAGTTATTTCTAATATCTAGTCTGAACCTATCTTCCTTCAGTTTGAAGCCATTCCCCCTTGTCCTGTTGGTACATGCCCCTGTACAAAGTTCATCTCCATCTCTCTTGTAGTGCCCTTCAACTTTTGGAAGACTGCTTTAAGGTCTCTCCAGAGCCTTCTTGCTTCCTGTCTCAATTTCCATACTATTGTTTTCACAGCGAGCCTTCTACTTAGTTTTCCCCAAATTTCTTTACTGCTGCTAGATAGAAGAGTGTATCCAAAATGAGTATCATAACAAGTTAACACGGCTAACAGCTAGAGAGAGGTCATTTTTTATTGTTCTTTAAAAATAAAGCAGAGCGTCACAAATACCCCTCAGCTGGTATCGTCTGCACCATCTCTTATATTTGCTTATGGAGGAAATCCACAGCTCTATGGCATTTACTGCAAAAGTCAGGACATGCACCTTAATACCTTTTCCTGCTACTTTTTCTGGGGTTTTCTTTAGCTTGTTTCTCCCTTATTTTGACAACTTATATTTTATGAGTGCTACTTTGCACTGTGCCCTGTATAATCAGTTTTGTGGGAAGAGGCACAGAGTCCTTCCTATGTTTTTAAAACTTCATACATGTTTGTATTGTTTGTATTGTGTAAGATAATGCTAATGATATGTGTTCCTGGAAAAGCATCCTTGCAAAATCCATCATGAAATTACCCTGTGTGTTGAGATAGAATTCTCTTCTAAATTACACCACTTTGAAATTTTCATTCTCTTCTACTCAGAACTGCACATTTTTCTTACCTTTTCAATTTTTCTCTCATTTACTGATATTTAGCCATTCAAAGACTCTTCAGTAGTAAATAAAGTTCTTGGGTCCTTTAGTGAAAGTAATTTGGATGACTAAGGCCAGCCCTCTGGAGGAACAGAGCAAATTTTTGTAGAACTGAGTTTAGGAGAAAGCAAAGTGTTTTCACTTTCTTTCCTGCTTACTTCTCTGCTGTGGTTTTAGTTTGTTGGTGACAAGTAGGCCACTAAGTTAGTTGCTAAAAATTTCGTTAGTATCAACTAAAAAAAAAAAGTCAAGTCTTTTTTTAGTTTGTGTCTGTTCCTTGATTAAACATCTAGGCTAGATGACACATGCTGGTCTTGTTAAACTTTCTGTTTGTAATATCAGTTTTGTTAGTGTTTACATGTTTCACATAACAAAACTGAAATTATAAACACAAAGTTTATAATGTTTCTATGTTTTGAAAGGGAATACTTCACATTATGAAATGTATCATCTTCTGAATGCATCAGGATGATAAAAGGTCAACTTGAACTAGATACAGAAATGAAAAAAAGTCAAGAGAAGTGAAACTGTTAAAATAAAAAAGTGAACATTAGCCTTCTCTGTTCCTGTTCTTATGAAACCTCTCTGATGTGTATAAGAAATGAGAAAATGTACAGCTCATGTCCACAGTCAGTGCCTGTATATCTGGGTAAACAGAGATCAGAGATACTGGAAAACCAAAGTAATGTAAAATTCTAGAAGTAATATTGTTTCAGACCACAGAACGATTTCCATATTGCCTGTCCATTACTCCAAAGACTTCTAGTTTCAGGAGAGTTTATAATCCCAACCTGACCCCAGAAAAAAAGAACCTAGATGGCTGCAGCACCCTTCATGAGCTATCTAGTGGCATTTATTTGGCTGCTGTGCTCAGACTGAAACCTGCCAGAACATTAGCTAACTTGTGACTAGTTCATTTTAGGAGTTAGTGTTTACCTAGTCCAAGCTGGAAGATGTACTAACATGGGATGATATTTTAGATATCGCAGAATGCTTTGGGTTGGAAGGGAACTATAAAAGTCACCTAATGCGTCACCACAGCAATGGGCAGGGGCATCTTCAGTGGCATCAAGTTGCTCAGAGTCCTTGGTGAAGCTGTGCTGGCTGTCTGGAGTCCCCTCCCTGTCCTTCACATGCCTTAGCACACATTCTAGTACTCAGTGATCTTCCCAAGCACAGAGTTAAGGTAGACAGGTTGATGATTTCCAGATCTCTCCCTTTCTACCACTTCCTAAAAGTGGAAGCAATGTTTCCCTTTTCCTGGTCACCGGGGACTTCACCTGACTGTCAGGACTGTTGCTGTTAGTGTCTTGGCAACTACATCGGCCAACTCAAGACCCTGGGACGCATCTCGTCAGGTCCCAGAGACTTACGTGTATTCACATTCCCAGGTGCTCGTGAGCCTGATCTTTTCACACAGTAGAAGGGACTTTACACCCCCAGTGCCTCCTTTGCAGTTCATCTATGTGAGAGCTGTGGGAGGAGAAATTGCTAGAGAAGACTGGGGCAGAAAAATTGAATGCCTCAGGCTTCTTCTTGTCCATTGTTACTGATTTGCCAGTCATTTTTGTCTGGGAGTTACACATTCTTTGACCTTCTTTTTGTTACATACTTACAGAAACCATTATAATGCTTCATATTCTTTGCCAAGTTCAGCTTCAGCTGTCATTTGGCTTTTCTGACCCTTCCCTACCTAAGTTAGCAACATCCCTATACTCCTTCCAGGATACCTGTCCCTGCTTCCTTTGTCAGATTCCGCTTCTATTGACTTGGTAGGAGTGGAGTTTGGCTTCACTTTTGCACTCTGTTCTTGCACTCTGCTGGAACAAACTGCTGTGCAAGATGAGGCTTTGTCTGTCTGCCACCAACAGTGCTGTCATCCTAGATGTGTAAATGCAAAACACAGTGCAAAGTTATAGTACTTCATTTACTGTTACTTTTTTTTTTAGTCAACGGATCTTTATGTAATTGTACTGTCTCTTCTTGTTTGAGAGGTAGATGGCACTATAGTTACAGAAATCCTTTTGTTTTGTGTGATAAGTGCATTAATACCAAGACTACATGAACTAGTGCACTTCAAGAAAACCTCCCTTCTTTTCTCCATACCTTTTCAGTTGTAACTTCAAGTGAGTGAGGATATCATTTAGTAGTATATTTTATGAGTACTGTCTTGGGGCAGGAGAGTGGTGTATAAATAGTTTACTTTGAAAACGATGGATGATTGTGTGTATGCATATAGAAACATACAGCTTAACAGTGAATCACTACTCAGCAACTCCTAGCATGACATTTTACTAATATTGAAGGTCTATGACAATGTCATTTTTTTTTTTCTGGTGGAAGTTCAGCTGTAGTATACTCTGTGAAAGTTAGAATTAAAATAACACCAAGATTATTTGTGTGCTGCCACCACACATGCCACTTGTTCTGTAGGTGGCCATGGTTAAAGCAAATATGTTTTGTCTAGTATCTTAATGGCAAATAGTTCCTGTAATGTCATCCATGCAAGCTGAATGACCTGCTAGAAATTGTTCTAGTAAATTTTGAAGTGAGATTTTCTGTTGTGTAATGTGTTAAGGTTTTTGATAGGTATAGATGCTCTAATTCTACTGCATCCTTTTCCTGTATCAGGAAATTTTATGAAAGGTACTTGAAACTGTGTTCTGCAAGATTAGACATATGATGCAGAAAAATGAACTTCGTGTAAATTTCAGTATTGTGCATTCTGTGACTGTATAAAAGCAGACTTCTGTTGTGCTACTTTTATTCCTTTTAAATTGTGAATGTCTTTTTTACTAGTCTGTAGAAGCTGCCTAGTGAAATATTTGGAGGAAAACAACACCTGTCCAACCTGTAGGATTGTTATACATCAGAGCCACCCATTACAGTATATTGGGTAAGTATAAAAGCAGAAGTGCCAGTAGCTTCACTCTAGTCTGAGTCTTCCCCTTTGGTACAGTACAGCTTCTCTCAGAATTTTTGCTCTTGCTTGTAAGCATGTTAAACTTTGAAAAAGAAGTATGAAGGTGACTGAGAAGGAGATACAGAATGAAACTTCTGCTATGAGTTTGCAAGGCCTTAGCATGGCAGCTTGTTCCAGACTTACAAGCAAGTTAACTATACACTCAAATGTTTAATTTCAGTGTGATTTTTAATGGGATATAGTCATTCCTCATTTTGTATACTTGGGTTGTAAAAATTATATATATGAAATGTTTGTAGGAATTACACTTTTACAAAATTATCAAAAATTAGTCTCAGTTGAACAGTGCTTTTCTGTGTGACAGTAATAAGAGAAATAATTTTCAGCTTTATTGTTCAGTTAATCTTTCAAAGGTCTGCTTAGGTTGTAGGAACAGATAAGAATGTCATAGAATCATCATAGAATGGTTTGGGCTGGAAGGGACCTTTGAGATTGTCTAGTTCAGGTTTCTCAAAGTTCCATGAAGCCTGGACTGATCCCCCCACCCCACCTCCTTTCTGGGGGTGGGGTATGCACAACTTCTCTGAACAACCTCTTCCAGCCTTGCCACTCTCACTGAAGAATTTCTACCTATTATCTAACCTATATCTGTCATCTTTTAGTTTAAAACCATTCCCCCTTGTCCTATGACTACATGCTTGTCTAAAAAGTCTATTTCCAGCCTTGTTTTGGGTTCCCTGCATGTACTGGAAGACTGCTCTGACAGTTCCCTGCAGTCTTCCTTCTCTAGGCTCTACAGCTCCAACTCTATCAGCCTGTCTTCACATTAGAGGAGGTCATTTTCATGGCTCTCCTGTGGACTCACTCCAGCAGGTCCACATCCTTTGGGGGCCTCAGAGCTGAAAGCACAGGTCTAGGTGGGGGCTTTTGCAGGCAGAGTAGAAGGACAGGATCACCTGCTTCAATCTGCTGCTGAGTTTCTTTTGATGCAGCCTAGGTTGCAGTTGGCTTTCTGGACTGCAAGTGCACATTGCCAGGTCATGTTGATTTTCCATTTGCTAATATCCCCATGTCCTTCCCCTCAGAGCTGCACTCAGTCACTTCTCTGCCCAGCCTGTATTTGTGCTTGGGATTACCCCAGTCCAGGTGCAGGACCTTGTACTTGGCCTTGTTGAACTTCGAGCTTCACATGGACCTACCTCCTAAGCATTGCTTCCTTCTAGCATGCCTACTGCCCCATACAGCTTGGTGCTGCTGGCAAATTTGCTGAGGGTGCTCTCAATCCCACTGTCACTGACAAAGATGTTAAACAGCATTGATCTCAGTACTGACCCCTGAGGTCAGTGTGGTCTCCTCTTGGATATTGAACTGTTGATCACAACTCTTTTGAGTGCAACCATCCAAACTTTCTTTATCCAGCCTTTCTTAATCCAACAATTCCTTATGCACCAAGTGCTGCATTAGTCAAATCCAGATCTCTCCACTTAGGGACAAGGATGTTGGGCGGGACAGCATCAAATGCTTTGCACAAGTCCAGGTAGATGCCATGACTCACCCTTTCCTCATCCACTGTCTCTGTAACCTCATCATAGAAGACCCCCCAATTTGTCAAACACGGTTTGCTCATAGTGAAAGCCATGTTGGCTTTTGCCAGTCACCTCTTTATTTTCCATCTGCATTTGCGTAGTCAAATTGCATGTTCACTAAGTATTTTTGTTGGTTTTTTTCCTCCTTTTCTTGTCAGAAAAGACATTATTTTTATTTTCCTTGAGTGCTTTCTTTCCATTTTACTCCTGCTGATGAAAATACATCGTAATGGTGTGCATTAGCTGTTGCATATCAAATAGTGTTTTGTCTTCCGCTATAAAGAGCTTGTGTTTGTTCATAGCATTTTTCAACATGCCTTTCTCACTTCTATAACAATTTTGGAAGCAATAGTTTTAGCAAATGAGTCTGATTGCACTTTTACAGAAAACTGTCAATGTTCTACACATACTTACATTGCTCAAGCTTACCCTCCTTCAGGAGCCTGTAACTAAGTATGCTGTCTCCACATTTATAATATACACTCATACTCCTGTATGAGTGTATAATTAAAGGGACAGGTACTTGCAAATGAATGCATGAATGAATAAATGACATGTAAGACAACATGTTTGCCTCGGTTCAAAAACTTGGTTTTTGTGCAAAAAGGGCCAGGAAACAACATGATATTGAGAGCAGCTAGAAGGCAATTTGTTACTTGTTTTTTATTGTTGAATACACTTCAACTTAAGTAAGCTGTTTAAATTAGGTGTAAAATATTGCCCATTGAAACTGAAACAGACTTTGTCCAGTCTATTTATTTACCTTTTTAAAAAAATAATTGACAGTCTGGAGTATCACAAGGTGTTTGAAAATGGAGATTTAAACTCCTGTTCATCTGTCTGAAAAACAGGTAAACCAAATGTGTCTCCTTGTTTTCATTTTAAATACTGTTAAATAGCATCACAGAGTCTTAAATTCTTTGGTACCTTAAAGATCGTCTGTATGATCTAGTTCCAACCCCCAAATTGTCACCTCTGATTTAATGGTGGTGTCATACTTATATATTTTTGTTCAAATAATTTTGGCAAAGTGTTTGCAATCCATAAATGACATTTCATCATCTCAGCCTGTACAAATGAGATTGCTGCTGGTGAAAATGACATGAATTTAGGATAAGTGATATTCTGAATCTTGTAGCGCTACTTAGAATATTGTAATTACTGCTTGTAAATGTCTTGATTTGTCACTATTTCTGTACTTGCTTTCTGATCTCCACTGCTGTGGAGTGCTCATGTCAGGTTATGAGAAGCCTGAGACTACTCTTGTAAGCCTTTTCTGTTGAAATCCAATTCAGGACTTGATACTGCAGACACTTTTGAGATTATGACATTGCAGCAGTCAAGGCAGACACTTGAAATGCTTCTTATACTATTTCTTAATTGGAATTTAATGTAGTACTTAATTTCTTTGAGACCGTAACTTATTTTAGATTAGAACAGGATTTTTCTAGGTGAGCTGGGGATTAAAGTTTAGAATTTTACCTGTCCCCACTGTTCTGCAGTGGGATTGTTGACTTTTTTTCATTTGAGCCACACTACCTCTACAGGCTACTTAGCTAAATAATGTTTCTCACAGTTACTTTGCCCTTTTAAGAAAAAAGTAAAATTTAGTTTGTTGTGGTCTTTTTCTCTGAACTTGTCTCATGCATTTTAGAAGATCCTAGTAAAGATAACTAATCTAGAAATGTGAGCAATTAGTCTTTAGGGGTGAAAAACAAGCTATTATTGATTCTTTTGTAATAAAAATGAGTTTGGAACTCATTGGTTGGAAAAGAGTTTTAGGTTATTACTGTCATACTTGTCTTGATGCAGAAGGACATACTCAGTGGGCTGAATTGTGAAAACTAGTCTACAGACTAGTTTTTCTCACACTTCCATTTGTTTTCTATCTTAGCTTATACTTTTTCATAGTTTCTTTTGTGTATCTGTTCTTTCTGGTTTGATAGAAATACTGATTGAAAAGTAAAATTCTTCTTAAATGAATTTAGAGATTTTTGCAAATGGTTAGTAGTGGAACTTTTTTAAGAGAAATGTTTTCAATCAAGATCATGAACTTAAGCTTTTGATTTTGTTTTTGTTTTTTTGTTGGTTTTTTCCTTGCTAGTCATGACAGAACAATGCAAGATATTGTTTACAAACTTGTGCCAGGCCTCCAAGAAGGTAAGTTGTGGTGTGACCTTTTTAAAGGTCAGTTTGCACATACTTCTTTGACATTAAAGATAAAAGAAAGTTTCAAGTGATGTAAAAAGGGGCCAGGGGGGCAGCTGAGAAAAAATACAGTGGAAAACGAGACTCTTGTGTAATTTTTAGCAATTAATTTAATTTCGTACCTGTAGTAGCAACAACTGAGTGTGGGGGTGGTAGGAGGCAACGTGGGATGTTGCTTCCAAAAGCAGTATTATGTAAAGCAGAATAGTCATTCAGCTTTCAAATGTTGCCATACCATAACTCTAATTTGTTTTTGTTATACCTGTTGTGCAAGCTTTCTAGAATTCTCAGAGGTAAAATGCAATTTTAAAATGCTTTTAGTTTCTGCTTTTTTTGAGAGTTCTTTTTTGTTGGAGAAATTTCAATTACTGTTTTCATAATCCTCTTTGATACTAGATCTGTTAAACTAAAGAAATACTTTATAAATATTGCTCAGTGGTTTTTTTGGTCTTAATGTATGTTAAAGTTTTCATTTAAATAGAGTATTTTGATCTATTGAAGCTGCTTTTTATCCAGGGCATTTCCAACTGTCAGTGTGATTAAATACATACTTTAAAAATAATTTCTGGGATATTGAAAACCAGAACTATGAATAAAAATTCAAAACCAATGTTTTGACTGAAATACTCAACATTCAAAATGGGGATCATATTCAAAATGGGCGTCATGTTCAAAATGGGGGATATTCAAAATTAGCTGCAGTATTTTAAATTCCATCTCATTCTAACAGTAATAGCATAGTAGTAACTATGCAGATAACTTTATGCTTTTCTAATTCTGAAAAATAAGATTAGGCATAACTTGATGCAATAGGAGTGATAGAAGACAGTAAATAATGACACCACCGCCACTTGTTGGCAATCCTAAAGTGGGAAGGGATTTGGAATAACTTCATAAATATTGCATTAGAACTTTATTAGAGAAATTAATATTTGCAATTTTAAACAGCGGAAATGAAAAAGCAAAGGGAGTTTTATCACAAACTGGGCATGGAAGTTCCAGGGGATATCAAAGGGGAGACATGTTCTACAAAACAGCACCTAGATTCTCATCGAAATGGTAAATAGTCCTTTATTTATTCTGTCTTTGGTGGGTGATATATAGTAAATTGATGAACAGATCTTTTGGAAGTATGTGCCCAGTGAGTATATTACAATCATTGTTTTGTAACAGTGACGAATAGAGTCAGCATAGGATTGTTGCCTTGTCTCTTATTTCTGCACAGAATTTTGGTTTTAGCTGTTAATTGCATGTTGCTTGTGGCAAAGTTGGTCTCCATAGCAGTGCCTACATGGGGACTGTGAAATTACCCAGCTTCTGGGCTGTTAGCAGCTGAACTCCATAGGTGTTCTCCTCTTTCATGTCACGGGCTGTTGGCTGGAAGTGTAGCTGGAGCTGATAAGCACAATTTGGGAATAGCAAAGTTTATTCTATACTGCAGTCGTGAAACTTGCTGTTTTAATTGTATTGGCGCTGTCAGATGCTGCTGAGTGTATGTGGAGTTTATATATGATAATAATATTTGAGTATCCCATATATGTGGTTTTTTTTTAATCTAAGGTGAAACTAAAGCAGATGAAAATATAAATAAAGAAACTTCGGAGGAAAAACAGGAAGAAGATAATGACTACCACCGAAGTGATGAACAGGTGGGCTCATAGGGCATGCTCTAGTTTTATCTTGTGTTTTAGCTGTTGTGGTTTGGTAAGGTAACTTTGATAATCTAACAGAGAAGAAAATGAGTTTATTTCAAGCTACTTCCTCTGTTCTCTGATACAAACACGATGCAGTTTGGACAGTGCTTTTTTGTAAGCCTGAGGTTTTACCTTTGGGTTTTGCCAGGAATGGAGAATACATTCAAATCTTCTTCCAAATATCTTTATAGTTTTGATTGTTTATGAGTCTTTAAAGTTTGCTGTCAAAACAAATTAATGTAATTTTCTGCTTTATACAGGAGTGTACCCCAGTGTTACCATGATACATTAAGCTGAATGTGTATTGGTAATTATGAATTAAACCTGTGGCACTGTTAACACATTCAGTGCAGGTAGCTCAGGGTGCAGTTGCAATGAGAGCTGCGGGCTGAGCTCTGGATGGGAGCCCGAGGCAAGAGGCCCTGAACTGCCAACCCTTGGCACAGGAAGGGGCACAGGGACCGGTGGCACCAGCCTGGGGAGTGGACATCGAGACACAGAAGCAGCTGAGACCCCCAGACTTTGGTGCTGTGAGGGTATGAGAGCCCAGAGGTTCCTTTGTTCCGGGCCCCTTCTCAGAGGCACCAGCTGGAGCTGTTATTTAGTTACTGCACCACTATTAAGCTGTTTGAAAGACCTGGATGTCTGAGATTCTGCTATGGAAAACCTGGGGTTAAGCTAGTAGGGAATCCTGGTCTGAATGTGAGTGTGAGGGGTGTAGCTGTGAACGGGCTTCATTCTCAGCTTTGGTGGTGTGAATGTGGCTGCCAGAGTGGCTCCTGGATGGCCAGACAGGTTTCCTTAACAGCAGTCTTACTAACTTACTACATATTTTGTTTTCAACCTCTAATACTAATACAGTGTTAGCCCTGAATCATAAAAAGATTATAAAATCAGGGAAGCCCACTGTTAAGTTTAGAACACAAAGCTTGTTTGAAGGTGAAACCTCCCTTTGGTATAAACAAGCCATGCCTTTTATGACTTCTGGTTATGCGAGTCCAGAGTAACTTTAGCTTGGGTTAATTTTCTTCCCAGTTGCCATGTAAGGGAACTTTCAAAGGGATTGTACATGTTACTAGATCCCCCTAGTGTAACACAAGCATACCATCACAAAGAGTTTAGACTGTAATGAATAGCTGGATGGGAGAAAAAGTGAGAATTTGAAATATTTGTCATATCATTTGTATTCATTCTTTTTAAACATGTTAAAATTAAATTAGATTAGCAGTTGCATTGACAGCAAGAAATTATGTTAGAAGCAATCTTGAGAATTGACAATGGTTTTCTTACTGTTTTCTTGCTCTAGCTTTTAGCATATGGCCCTCTTAAGCTATTGACAGCTTATGAATTTGGACTGAGGCAGCCTTGTTCCAACATCAAAAATTACTACTTGAACATATTTGTCTTATTAGGAAATCTTAGAAAACATAGTTTTCTTAATAGACGTTTCAGTGTAAAGAACACTAGTACTGTACTTCACTATATTGGATTAATAAAAATTGCATGTGGAATACATAAGACTGCAGATAATTGTTGCAGCCGACTCTTGATTTTTTGCCTTTTCCTGAAGGTAAGCATCTGCTTGGAGTGCAATAGCAGCAAACTGCGTGGATTGAAACGAAAATGGATTCGTTGCTCTGCACAAGCAACAGTCTTGCATCTAAAGAAGTTCATTGCCAAAAAACTCAACCTGTCTTCTTTTAATGAGGTAATATTTTAATTTTTAAAAGTAAGTTTACAGATACAAAAACTTGAAGGGGATGGGTTTGTTCCTTTGCAAAAGGATGTCTTTTATTCTGATTTTATTTTCAGGAAACAGAAGCATACACCGCTTCTTGAATGCTATATATGTTACATAGATAGCAATTTTCTTGTCCTTTCTTGGGTCTGTACAGGACTTCCCACTTAGTTTGCAGTGCATCTTTTCATGCGCATTTTTAAATAGTTGGGCAAAAAGTTTGGTTATGTGCTTCCACATGTGTTTAAACGGACTCTGGCAAGATGATTTTTTTGATATATTGTAGTTGAGTTTATCTCCAACATTTTAGGAAGTTTGCACTCTACAGGGGCCAAACAGAAACACTTCAACAGTGAAGTCCATTGAAGAGAAAGCACCACAAATATGTTGTTCTTTTCTGTGCTCTTAGTGAAGCTCAGTCTGAAGCTGCTGCCTACCACAATCAGAGTGTTATCAGATGCCTGCTTTTCCCTGTCTTTACAGGGAATCATGAGAATAATTTAAGTTGAAAAGTACAGAAAGAAAGGCAATACTTTGAACTTCTCCTAGACTAGATTCAAAAATTAAAAGTGGCAAACTATGAATGCAGTCCCTATTTGTCACTTGGCTGGATCTTGGTAACAGTTTCTAGACATCTCAGTTGACTCTCAGCTTGACATCTCTCAAATCCATATTATGACACGGATTTACTGAATTTCATTAAGACATTTCATACAAATCAAGTAATCTGCTTTCCAGTCCAGTGTGTCAACACCTTGCTGCTTGATCTTGTCAACAGCCAATTTGCATCTCTATCACTTTTCCTCCATAGCTTCTGTACACTTCAAACTAACACTCTCTCTCTCTCTTATGGTTCAAGTATATCCCCAAACTCTGCCAGTTTTCCTGAAACAAAACCTTGTGTCCCGTCTTGTCCTGAGTTGGCTCAGAGGTGGTTGTCTCCTGACATAGCTACAAGGATTGTTCAGAAGGGGTTTTTTAAATATATTCTTTTGGTATATGCATGTGTAAGCTGCTCCTCCGATGCAGTGTGCCAAGATGTGACTTAAGAATCTACTTGGTTTGTACTGAAAGAAAAACTTTTCTGGAATACTGTTTATTTTTTTGTTATCCCTTTCTGCCTTCTTAAAAAATACATAAATAGTCATGTAATCATTTTACTAGTAGTAAGTCATATAGAAGGAGAATTTGAGCACATGGTTACTTGGTTGCTTGATACAGACTATTTCAGGTTTGAGTTACTGCTGTGTAAGTGGACAGCATGCACATTCAGGCCTTTCTGGGCTGTGGGGTAAAACATTGTAACATAAGCCAACTTGGTGGAACTTGTTGTTTTCATACATGTTCCCTGGTTTTAGCTCATGTTCAGCTATTGTAGTTCAGCTGATTAGTAGTCATATGATCCGTCATACTTTTATGTTGAGATCTTCCCTTGTTTCTAATACCAAGATTTTTAAAAACAGAGATAGAAACCAAAAATACCTGTTTAGTATCTGTAAAACCCCTATAAATGTAGCATATAAATATATGGCCGACTGTTTTTTTAAAAAAACCTCTGTCCTTGTAATAATGCCACCTGACTGCTGTTAGGTAAAAAAAATTTCATAGTATGCTAAATAACAGCTCTCTTTGAGAGTTCTCTCCCCTTGTCCTGTATTCAAGCATTTTAGAAGCATGTAAAGCTTTCCGGAAAGGACCTTAGTACTGCTTGGGAAGATAAATGAAACATTAAATCCATATCTTACTATATTTCTTAGGCGGGCATTGACATTATCTTTCAGTACTTCATGTTGAGAGCAGATTTTCTTTTCTTTCGTGGTGTGATTTTTGTCTGCAGGGCAACTTCAGGATTACCAGTTCCAGTGTCTTCAGAGAAAAAAAGTCTTGTCAAATGTATAGTAATATGTGAAATACATTGTTTGGTGAATTGGGTCCCAGTGAATTAACTGTCACCTTTATTTTGTCAGCTGGACATATTATGCAATGAAGAGATTCTTGGCAAGGACCATACGCTCAAGTTTGTAGTTGTTACTAGATGGAGATTTAAGGTATGACACAATGATTCAATGTAAATCATGAAATGGCCAAATAAAATGTTTATAAAATAGCGATAATTTGGAACTGTACTGCAGTATAGCTTTATAGAAGGTATTTTTATAAGTATCTACTACAATATCCTTAGATGCCAAGTATTTATTTGTTTCCAGTAAATGAAGGAAAGGAGAATTAAGTATTCATTGGAAGAGAAAAGGAAACACTGTATTAATTGTCTAATTGTTATCAAGTCTGTCAGAGGAAGTAGAAGCTACAAAAAGTATTATTTTTAACTCCTTCAGGCAGTAAGAATGAGTAGCAAAACGACGGAACACTTAGAAGGGAAATCAGTGTATGTACACACAGAGTTACTGGAACAAGAAGTTTGTATTTGTAATGCAAAAGCAACACATTCTGAGCATACAGTGTGCACTGAGGTGAAATCACTTGGTGGCTTTGGATGCCTCTCTAGAACAGGTCCATGTGGAATTAGAGAAGTATTTTTCTGTTTGGAATTACAAAATAATTGACCTGTGTAAGAGTCACAGGATGAAGTCAATGGTCAGTGTTAAAAATGCAGAGATGTCACAAGTGGAATCCTGCTGGAATCTGTTTCATATGGTGTTTCTGAATGACCTGGAAATGGTCTTTACAGTTCTGAGTGACAGAAGATTAACAAACACCTGAAGTTGAATGTAGGTATAGATAAAAGGATACAATGCAAACATTAGGGTTTTCTGGTGTAGCAGAGAGAACCAAACAGGAGCATCAAATTGATGTGCACCCATACAGTCTACTCTTCACCTGTGAGAGATCTGTGTAATTGTGAGTCATATGGAAAGCAGAACTGTGAACTGCCCTCCCAAGTGAAAGAAGTGGTGGATGGAAAATGGAACTGAGACACGAAAGGCCCAGAACAAACAAGCTGAAGTAATTGTTTTTGTGAGACACAGAAGTCCATGGTGCAGGATGTTGTGGTGTAAAAGTTTGCCTATTCATAAAAAAAATCAATGGATGCTTTCACAGAAGAGGAATCAAGTGAGAGCTATTAAATATGAAGTACCACATACTCTAATTTCTGCTTTCTGGACATCCCTTACTTCAGGGAGTTTTCCAAGATAAACAGATCTGCTCCTGAGATAAAGGGGAAAGGGTTCTTTATCACTTGTTTGAGCCCCACAGATGAAGTTGCCCCTTGTCTTTGTCTTGGTGAATTTTTGACAGATCAGATAGCTGCTCTTGACTTTAATTGAAGCTTTAGTTTATGACACAGAAGTTTTTCCTACTGAACAGGTTAGTTGTGGATTTGTTTCTTAACTTACTGGTATTTCTGTCTTGCAGAAAGCACCTCTACTGCTACATTATAGACCCAAAATGGACTTGCTGTAAGGGAACTTAAGTGTCCTTCTGGACAGAGCTTTTTGCAGAGACTATCATCTGGCACCTTCTTAGTGCATCACTAATCACATGACACAAACCAGCTGAATAATTTTGGAAGACTGGAGGGCTTTCATAGTGGGCTGTCCTGAATATTTCTTCTAGGGATGTGTTACCTAGACTTCTGGGCAGACAATATTTATACTTTTTTGTATGGAAGAAAGAAGTTTCAACTCAGCAAGACACTACCAGCATTAAGTTTACAGATACTGAAAACACTTCACAGTTCCATGTAGCTCAGCCTGATTTGTCTCTTACAGTTACACACAGAAAAAGTTTGAGTGTTGTGGGGTGATATAAATATGTTGCTTTTGACACCAAGTTGCTTTAGTTACTTCTCGCATTCTAAATCTTTAAAAACTATATTTTTGCAAAGTGTTATTGTCTTATATAGTATGCCTGATTGCATTGGCTTTATTCAAGTTACTCTGTAGAGCATTGAACATACCTGATAATACAGTGACTGGTGATAATTTATTATGCTGCATTGAAAACTTAAGAAAATCTGGGAAACCAGTAAATTTGTCATTTTTGCCCAGTTATTGCTCTCCCTCACCTTGTGTTTTAATAAAGTTTTGATACTTCTGTATATGTGTTAATTTGGTAAGACTAATAGAAAGAATTTCAGTTGATTTTAATGTGCTGTGATATATATTTTGCTATGGTATAAATTGCACCACGTAATGACAAATACTCACAAGTGCTAGATTTGTGAATTTCTTAAAAAATAAACATTTCTTATGTATTGTGGCTTGCAGAAATCAGTTTTTAATTTAGAGAGAATTTGCTATCACTACTATTGAAACAGTGGCTCTTGGACAACTGTGGGAGTATTGCAGATTTTTCATTTCACTGATTAAAACTTACAAGCAACTTTAAATTTCTTTAGCTGTTTTCTTACAAAACCATAGCATTTTCTGTACTGCCATTCCAAACTTACATGGGGTGGGAGGAAGGGAGAGTCAAGACAAGATTATTTTAGCACCTTTTGGCCTTAACTAGTAATTTTGCTTGCATCAGCCCTAATGGATGCAAGGTAATACACATGAATTTATGTATGGGTACATACATCTATATACACATATAACTATATATGTTACAGAAAGCACCCTCAATGGCACTTAGCAGGGCTCGCTGCACTTTTTGTAAGGCTTTTGGAAATAATTGGCTTTTAAAAAACTGTAGTTGAAAGTGATTTCTGCAAGCTATATCCACTATGTATCATCCATAGTACAATTGTAAGAACATTTGTCTGGCCCAGGTGTGAAGTCACTGAAAATAGTGTATGCCCTATTATGGCCAGCTGGAAATAGTTAACCTAATTTTTGGAAGAGTTTTCCTGTCAGCTGAAAATGTTAGTCGCTATTCCTATTATTAAACTCTGTTATTTTTTTGATAAATTATCTTTTGATAAGAAGCCCTGCTTCCTCTTGCTGTGCTCCTTTGCTTCTTCTTCTAGAAAGTGTTACTTAGTAACCAGAAGCTGATACTGCAAGAGATTTATCTAAGCATTTTAAATATTCTTCCTCTTGAGTTTTCAAAGCGCTACATTCCTCAGCACATTTCCCTTAATTTCCCTCTCTGGAGTCTTCAGTTCTCCTTTCCCAGCTCTACTGCTGCTTGTGCTTACCTTTGACAACAGGGCTCCTTATTTTGATTACAGTCACAGATGTGAGGAGGAAGGAAACTAAAAAGAAATTATGTGAGCAGAGAATGAAAAGGATTCTCCTGAATTGTGGAGATGGAAAGGAGAGCCACACAAAGGCCAGAACATGCTGCTGTCCATGCAGACGAAAGTGTTAAGATAGCTGTATTTGAATGTTTAGGTCACACAGAACTCCACATCTGGTTCTTGTGTGGTGTTTGTATGCATGTCTGTGATTCGTGCAATCAAATTTGGCTCTGATTTTGTCTTGCTGTGTGTGTATTTTCAGCTTTTTTTCTGTCTTTAGCATTACTTGATCTGGCAGAAAAGAACAAACAAGATCATGTGTCTACCATTTTTAAAACTTTCCATAAAAGCAGTCAATGCAGGTGGTATGGATGTGTACACAGGCTGACATACTGGGCCTCTCTGGAGCTGTTTCTTACATGATTGTTACTGTTCTAGTGTGAAAAAGAGTCTGGCTTTGCCACTGAGGCCCTGAGAATGTGGACAGGACTGTAAGGGTCCCAGCTCTGTGCACCCAGAGTATGCACCAAGTGGCTGTACCTGATGTAGACATTAAACTAAAGCTGCCAGACAGCATTCTGGTTAACCACCTTACTCAGAATATATATATATATATATATATATATATATATATATATATATATATATATATACACACACAAACAAATATATATATATACATATACACATATAAATGAGATCTGTCTACCTCAAGTGTGTGTACTGCAGGAAACTTTTGTATGACTAGATATTGACGCAGTGCTGTTAAAGTACATTGGGATTTCATTTCTTCCTTGTGTACTTGAGCAACTGAGAAATTAATTACGAACACGCAAATTCAGAAGCCTTTCAAATCTATCTCTTGCTGTAACAACTTACAATAGAAAACTTCATAACCATCTTTAGAATCACTTGAATTTGTTATGGTGCTATCAGTATATAGAAAACTCTGTTTATATGGATACATAAATTCAAGCCAGTATTAATACCTATAGCTGGGGTTTTTGCTTGTAATTGTGTGTAACTGCTTTTGCAATGTGTTTAATCTGATAATATCGCACCATTAAAAAAAAACAAAAAAACAAACAAAAAAACAAACTAAAAGAACCAAACAAAAAACCCCCAAACCAACAAAAAACTCCAGAGTTACTCAGTTGTTTTTCTAAATCACATGTGATAACATCTTCACTTCAAAAATTGCCCTCAGGAGTGGTGTGACTCTGTCTGTACCATATGTTAGTCTCACTAAAAGACTACAGTGTAGAGCAAGGTCTTCTTTGGGTAAGAGCCTTGTTTAATTTCTGTGACACTTAAGAGACAATTTATATCAAGACTATATTGGGTAAAGTAACCCTGATACTGTTGAAAGTTGAACTAAAATTTGGACACGACCATACATATTTCTTAGTTCTGATGAGATCATGGTCGTTGATTTTGGCTTTTGTGAAGATGCCATTACTGTGAAGTAGCTTTTATAATTTCTTACGCTGGTAAATAGTTGCAGTAAGGAAGTATCTTGTTGCATTATCCTCAGCAGCAGTGAGACTGATGAATCACCTGGGCTTAGAGTCTCATTAAGTATACTTTCATTAAAAATAAAGAATTGAGATAGAATATATAATATGGAATTTAAATAAGATTTGGGGGTTTAAATTTTAACTTTATAAAATTATTTATTCTATTTTAAGCCTTCTGTCTTATTTTACCATCCAAGTATTTTTGGTTTTAGTGGTCCAGCTTTATTTACGGGCATATAAATTGAAATTGTAAGATGTTTTTACAAGCTTCTTCCTTTTTCATTGAGTTTGAGTAGCTTTCATCTGTATGTTTTTGTTTTGTATGGATAAAGAGCATTACTTATGCTTTTGTGCAATAGGTTTGAAACATGCATTTATTAGGCTTATGTTTAAATTGTAAATGTAGCATCTACTTACCATTACATTTAAAAGGAATGTAGATGGCTTTTCTCACTTGTTCAAATGGAGTTTTATTTGGGGCTGTTATTTGGGGGTGGGTGTGTGTGTTTTATGCTTTGTTCCATTTTTTATTTTACGAGTGAAATGGGGGATTTAAAATTTCTGTAAGTACAAGAACTATCTGTCAGCAATATTTTAAAATAAACGATCTTGCAAGAAACCTTAATGTGAATTGTGGAAGCAATCGACAAGACTTGCAGCCTATCTGAAAATGTTTTGTGCCATTGTTAGGTCTGGTATATTTGTGTACCATCACACCTGGGAATATTTTTTTCTATGGTTGTGCAATAGTATACACAACACTGTCACTCAGGAGATATGGGACCGTAAAAAATATCAGACTACAACTATGATGGTGCTATTTTTTCCAGTAGGCTATGAGCCTTTGAAAGCTTATCTGGCTCTTATTGTCTTTATAACAACACAGTCCTAGGGGATATACAGATTTTTTTTTCTACTAGATGATAAATATAACTTGCTGTTTTACAGCATTCTCAATATTACATTGAGATAAAGATAATAGGAAAAAGCCAACCAGTCTGTACATCAGTGAGATGAATCTTAGGTACACATTTTGTACAGAAGGCTTTACTGAACAGAAAAATCAAGTTTCTGCTTTTCCTCAGGTAATCACTTCAGTTTGGATGTTTCACTGAAAACATTAATGCAACTTTAGTTAGTCTGCCTAAAGTTGGTAACAGAAATTGTTCCACACATGAATCTCCCTATGTAAGATACAACTAGATGCTACTTGGGTCTTGAGATCCATTTTTGAAGAAAAAGTTGCAGAGAACAATACTAAAGAACATGGAACAATGCTTCAATCTCTGCTCTCATCAAAATTTGCAGTCAGGACAAAAATTACCTAGGAACTTGGGTCTTGTGGCAAATCAACAGGTAATGTTTTACCTGTTTATTTATATACAAAATAAAGGTATGACTCTACTATTTGTTCCATATTTTATCCTACTTAGGAGTTTTTTGGAAATCTTTTGAAGCCACAATGACCTCTGCATGTCCTGGTTGTAGGGTAGGAACTACATGCCCAATTCTATGAACATTTACATTGGTAACTTTAGTAATAACCTGGATGGTTCCACAGAAACCAGTGGGATCATTCATTCAAACAGAGGTATGGCTGAAGGAAGAAGTCCTGAGTTTTGAGTACTGATACTCCACTATTTTTGTTATTTCTGTTTGAAATGGAAAGTATTGGTTTGATGGAATCTTTAATTCAAGTGACTTATCTGGACAAAAGGAAAGTTTGTTCTTTCCTTCTGCAAACAGGATCATTTTGCAGTTAAGGGACAATTAGCCAGTGCAACCACTAAGCCTTTTATCCTCATATGTGGCATAATAAAGATTCTGGAACTGTCAGAGTGTAAAACCATATTTTTGGCTTAGCTTCATTTAAAAGTTTACAATTTTTTATGCTTTGTGTTGCTGTGTAATTTCTGTACTACTGGTGGCTAGTTTTGTCTGAATAAGCCTTTTGGGGATTAATGCTTAATGTTTTGATTTTACGATAGTGAAGCTTGTATCCAGTGTTTTGCCAATGAATATTATATGCTTGTTAATAAAAGCAGAGAAACTAACTGAAATGCTGTGAGGCTGAAAGTTTTTGTCCCATTCTCTTGAAGGAACATAAGGAGCTAGCAGTCATCGTAGCACTGAATAAATACAGTGTGACTGAAACAGAGGTGGTGTGGCATTGCATTGTCATAAAATCTGCCTTTTACTCAAAACAGAAGGATGGCTTAAAGTACTACTCCACTGGCAGTATGTTTGTGACAAGTATGTGTCAAGTAACTGCCAGATAGGAAATTAAACGGCTTCAATCACTCAGAGGGAAAACAGCATTATCCTGATGTCTTTATGTACCTGAATAAAAATGTACTTTCCTGACCTGTATGTGTTCCTTTCAACCTTACCCTTACAACCGTACCCTGGTTGAGACATTAATAATGCAAAACAGATGCTACAGTAGGTGAATTTTTTGCAGCATCTGCATTACATGTAATGCAGATGTATAGCTTGTGAACTGCTCTACATGCTGAGTACCTTTATTTATGCTCTTGGCTTGTTAGGAACTGCCAGTAACTCCAGGCCGCTTTGAAGTCAGTTTTATTCATACATGCATTTCTTATTTGCACTGATATTAATCATGCACAATTGTCCTGAGGCATTTGCCAATCACTATCTTCATTTAAATATCAGTATGAAAGACTTAACTGCAGTTAAAGTCCCTTTGCCTGTGCATAGTCACTTAGAAAATTAGCACTAATTCAGCAAGTGTTACTTTTTGAAAGTCTTTGTGCCTTTATTATAAGTGGCTTTAATACTTACCTGAACTTTGTATCAGTGGTTGTTTCCATATGGCTGTGAAGTAACCAGTGATGAGCCTGGCTCTGTCCCTTTCCTGAACACGGTGTTATTCTTATAAATAAAGAGTGAAAAATTCTCCTATTTGACTGAAATTCCCAAGCATCACAAAAAGAAGTTTTGCCAACAGTTGTGTTTGCTAGTCCTGAAAGCATAAATCTGCTCTGTAGCCAGTAGGAGCTAACTAAGTTTTTTTTCCCCAGAAGAAGTAACAATATGAAAAAGTTTTATTGGTATTTCTTACTTTATATGTAAGTGATATTTTCTTATTTTGCTGATTTACTATTCTGCCATAAAAAAAAAATCATTACTTTGAATGCACTACCTCTTTTTGTGCAATAACTTATTCTTTGGGATTAGAGCAGTCAGAGAAAAAAATCCATGTAAATTGAATATGTGCATTTAAGATAGATAAATTCAGCTGTTTAAACCCAGGTGTAGATGTAGTCACTCAGGATTCAATTGGTCACAACTCAAGTTAGGCTAATCCAGTGCTGCATATGAATAGAGGTATACTGCAGTGTAAATCCCCAGTACCTCCATAGTACTTGTGCATCTTTAATTTCCAGCATCATCCTTGTTTAGCTTTTTATATTCCTGATTTTTTTTAGGCTTTCTTTTGATTAGTTTTTCTTTGAGAAAGTCAAGGAATGTTCTGGCATTAGTGGAGAGAGGTTTACAAGAGTACTCTGAGAGATTTGACTACTAAAAGGAAGATGTGGTCCCCATCTGTGTAAATATGTCTAGTCTTTCACATGGCAATACACTTGCACTTGTCACTGTGTAGATGTGTTTTACTGAAGGGCTTGAATTGGACATGTCTGTGCTTTGTGTGTTTTGTGTAATGACTGCATGTTGATGTGTCCATGGAAATAAGAACAGAACAAAAATGAAAGCCATTGGCTTTAGTCCAAAGACTGATTGGGTGATTTCCATGAGGAGATGTTGCCATTAAAACCTTGTTTATTGTTTTCCGCCCCTGTTTGTAGTTTGCAATTATTTCTTCAAACACCTGAAGAAAGTGAAACTTCATTCTCTTAATTCATTCAACTCTCTTATTCAACTTAAATGAAATTCTTTAAGGCTGTTTATTTGTTTTCTCCTTTGATGCAAAGTTCACTGTTGCTTGCCTGAATCCTTGTTCAAAGAGAGCACAAAGGCTTTAATTGTGGGTGCTCCAAGGCTGCACCATATGACAGTTTCCATTACTGTTGAACACAGAACTGACTGCTGATGCAGCAAATAATGTCTCTACTTCTGGTCTTTTCTACTGATTCTCAGCAGGGTGCAGAGCAGAAGTTCTGCTTTGGTGTATTTTGTAATCCAATGTATTGTCCAAATGCCTCTGCTTTCCCATTTAAGCAATGCCTTTGTAACTAGCTGCAATGGACGGTATTAGCATTACTTGGATTATTGTTTAAATGCATTTTGCTGTTTTACAGAAGTGCCTGGAAAGAGAGTACCCTAGTGAATCTGGACGTCAGGTAGAATGTGTCCCTTAGGCTGCTCACATGCCTCTGGAAAAGATTCCTTTTTCTGCTTTGTGTCAGTGTTACGGACTGCAGCTGCAACATCTGAGACTTGATGATTTCAACTGAAATGCTCAGCTTTGAGGCTCTCTCTAGATTTTATTGCAGCCATTGCAGTGGGCATTGCTTAAAAATGGTCAATGCTGGTTTGAAGCACAGATGATGGGTTGTTCTCTGGATCCTCTGCCAGTGGCGCCTCAACAGATCTCTGTGTTGTGACTCAGTACAAAACAGGCTTCTCATTCTGATGACTGTCTTCTCTTTCCCTAGGAAACAAGCAGTCCCATGTCTGTGTGTTCTAATATGACAGGGACTGCTTCACCATTTCCCTCTGCAAGAGCTTTTTGAGATTAGAGTATCCTTTACAGACTAGGTTGTCTATTCAGGCTCACAAGCTCTCACAGGCAACTTTGCTAGTTTTAATCAGAATGGCTGGAGGCTAAGCAGTTGCAAATAGTTGTTCACAGGGCTGTGATGGGCACCTGGGGTACCTCACATTGCCTTCAGGAAAGGTCTCAGATCTGAGATAGTAGATGGGTCCCACCTTCAGCATTTTTCATATCTGATTGCCATTTTGAGACTGTTTGTCTGATCTCTGAGGATCCTTCTTAAGAAAGTATGCTTTCAACTTGCCTTGGGCTTCATCCTCTTGTATCATTGGCTTTGGTGGGTTGACTGCCTTTGTTGCTGCAGTGTTGCTGCAGCTTTGGAGCTGTTCCTTCTGGATATGACAAGGCCTCATCTCTCCCTCTTTCCCTGTTCAGTTACTCTGATCTGTGTGGCCCATTTGATGTTGCACATTGTGTTGTAGGTGGTGCAGGTGACAGTTCAGCTTCCTGTTTCACGCTGGGAGCAGGAGCCAGTTCTGTTGGTGCTGTTACAGTCCACCCCCGCCATGGAGGAGCAAAGAAAACACTCTGTGAATAAAGCAGGTTGAACTCAAAGGTTCAGTTATTCCCAGAAACAAGAATAAAACCAAAACAAGGTTAGACAATGATACCAAAATATTTTATATATTTTTTTAACAGTAAAACAGTCAAGGAGAAAGAAAAGTAGAGAAAAGTTAGAAAAAGCTAAGGTTACTTAAAAAAGTATAGTATTGCTCACCACCACATTGTTGCATTTTTTTGTTATTTTCTGCCATTTGAAGTGTCTTATTTGCCTTCTCCAATCTCAGGAGCAGCTTAGTAGAAAGCAGCCACCCTTCCCCCAAAATGCAGGCATGGTGCCTGATCCCTGTAGTCCAGCTCTCACCACAGAAGGCAGGAGCAGTGAGATGGGGGGTTTCCGCAGCTCATTTGTGACTTGGATCCAAGGAAGAAGGATCGGAGGATTCTCCTCGAGCTGGCAGCATTGGCTCCCAGAGGCCTTGGGGTGTCTCACAGCAGGTGGTGGTGGGTGAGGGAAGGCAAAGGTCTGAGATTCTGCCCTTCTCTTTCTTCTCCACATTTGCACAGGTTTTGCCTTCCTTTTTACGGATCTCAAGCTGGGCTGTTCACAATCCATCCCGCAGATAGTTTTCAGGTGTTCAGAAGAGATTTTGGCAAGCAGACATAACAATGAAGCGCTTTTTGTAGCCTTTCTCTTAATATCAGGTTCTGCAGACACAGGCACTCATGATCTTCAAAATTGTCTACTGTTTTCTGGATTTTGTGCTGGAATTGGAGAGAAGGCTGATTTTATTACTAATCAGTCATTATCCATAATTCATGGAAGAGTTAAGAACTGTGTAGACTAACACACTAAGTGCCTGGAACATACAAAACATAATTATTGTGGCTGTGGATCTGAAAGGACAGCCACTGTTACATAATTGATGATAGACTTAATTTAAAGTCAAAGAAAAAATTGGAATTCTGCAGGAGATTCTGAAGGTCATCAGGAAGGGTGAGCTGATTGTGAAACAGTGGAGTCTGTACTTAGACAATGGAAAAAATACAGGCTTTACAGGGGTTACTTGGGATGTCTGAGAAGTCTATACACTTCTGGGTCCAAAGTAATTGGAAAAAGACACAATGGAAAAGAGGGATGAGTTGAGAAATGCCTGTTTCAGTACATGAGGTTGCTTTGGATTTTGTGTCACATACCACTTAACGTCTTGTTGCGTGTTGGAAGTGCTGGGCCGGTGCCCCTGCACACTTCCTGGTGACCCAGCCCCTGGTGATACAGCAGCCCCAGTGCAGAAGCTGTGCATGAAGGCATTTACTGAGTCCTGTGGCAGTGAGGGAGGTCCTTGGTTAGAAAGGAGGCTCCGAGATGGCCAGTCACAGCTAGGGGGGAAGAAACTGTGTCCTGGGGTCTTCCAGGGTCTTTTGACCACCTCTGAGGTGGTCAAACAGCCAGTGGGAGAGGTAAGCCCTGGAAGTATCCAAAGGCAAGCATGTAGCTTCATGGACGGCAGCCAGCCAGCCAGCCAGCCTCGGGGAAAAGAAGGCATATATTTGAGAGAATCGGTATGCCACACCATCCAAGTGACAGCTAGGGTACAGTTATTAACTGAGAAGTCAACAGTCCACCCGCCCTCCCACAGACCAGTTTTATCAGAGATGCATGCAGCTGTTTTAAACTGATCCAGAGCCAACGCCAGCTAGATCCCACCCATCTGCTGGCAGGTGCTTACAGGAGCTGTAGGAGCGCATGTCTGCAAGGTTTCAACATGAAAGCAGGCACAACTTGGCATTCTAAGTCTT